TCCTTTAAGTTCAAGGTGGTGCTTGAGAACCTGAGGTGTAGAATCCTAAGCATTTCCAGTGGGACAATTGCTCATCTTATCAACCTCTGGGTGTGTCTAAGCTCAATGCAAAGATACAGTGATGCTTGCAAATCTATCCTATTCCAAACCTTGGGGCTTAAGGTTCGTAAATCTTAACGTATGTTACTCAAGTAATTTCCTCTTAAATAGAGTCATATTATAATTTCATTTTTACATTATAATTTCATTTCACTCGATTTTTTTTGTAATAATTTGAATGTTATTTTATTAGATGTCAATCCTATTATTTATTTGCAAACAAAATACTTTGAGATTGATCTCCAATTTATTTAATATAAAGTAAAATGGAAGGAGCTTGAAGTCTTTTATATTCCTACAACTGAACACACTAGTGATATACTTATGAAGTCTATATCTCACATAATCTTTATAAATTAATATAAATTTAAAATTCATAACTATCACTTATGAATTTGTTGAATGGTGTAAAAAGATATTGAATTAATTATTAGTTATCTATTATGTTTTGTTACATTAATATTAATTCTTAATATTTTCTTTATATATATATCATATTTGAAATATACACTATTCAATACACATCTCATTTCTCTCTCAATTCATTTATTCTATATCATTCTTTCATTATTACTTATATACTTTTATGAATAATTAGACTAACCCATAATAAGTACAAATATTTATTAATTAGTATTTTTATCATCTCATGGAGCCATTTAATGTTGTACTAATTTAATAATTTTCTCTTTTATAAGCTTATGACATATTCTAATTTAATATTTTTCTTTTTTACAAGCTTACGATATTTTTGGATGCATTCATGCATCATGCACAAAAGAAATTAATTGCTACTTAACTAAGAAGCCCTAACCTACATAAGTGTTTTTTTTTTTTTAAGTAGACTCATTGCTTAATAGTTTGGATAAGATATGTACACAAATAAGCTGTCCGTTATGTGCTATTATTTAATTCACTACAAACCCCTGACAATAGAACTTCATTCAACAAGAGAAAGATTCAGTGGTTTGAAAAGCCAAAAACTATTATCTGAAAATTAATTTCATTCGGAAAATCAAACCCATTAACTTCAATACCTAAACTCTTTTGTCTCTTCTAAGTAGCGTCAAAATTACAAACAGGTCTTGGACCTCCTGCTGATGAACAGAACAAACATTAAATAATTGTTGACATCTAGTAAAATCATAAGCACTAATTTAACAAAATTGTAAATTTTGTTTTTATATGTAATTTTAGCTATCAACTTTTAGTAGAAAATTATATAAATTTTTAATAAATAATTATAACTTGTCACTTGTTTTTCTAAATTGCATCTTTTTTTATATTCAAATAAAATATTAAAAAAGTTCATAAAAAATAATATTACGCTTTCTCGTGTGTCAGAGAATCTTGAAGAAGAAAAAAAATATATCTCATTTTAAAATAAGAAACGTCATTGACCTTAAAAGAGACTAATAGAAATTTACATCTACAATATATTAAATGTGAGGTCATGTTCTTCCTTCATTGGACCAAATCACCGCACCGTATTAATTAGAACAAAACCTGTTTCGCTAAAATCGCCGTTCTTTTCTCCTCGGTTTCCTCCCAAATATATACATGCACAGTAGAAAATAGAACAAAAAAAAACTTCATCGTTTTTAAAAAATAGAGCTTTATGCTAGTATACGTTGAATTTGCTTGTGGTTACAAATTTAAGAAAATATTTTATATTATTAATGATTATAATTTATTTAATATTTTAAAGATTAAAAATATTAATTTTTAATTAAATTATTAATTTTATTATTTATTAACATAAAATTGATAATGATTATTATTTAACGTGTAAGAGAGAATACTGAATCTTCTCAATCATTTATTTATTTTATGAAATAAATTAATAAAAAACAAAAATAAAGATAAAAAAAATACTAATACCATAATTCTAGAATTTTGATAGACAGATTTCATATTCTTTTGATTACCAAAACTATATTATTTATTAAGAAGATAGAAATTTTTGAAATTAAGTGTAAACTAACAGATCTTATTGATATTCAAGATAGTTAATCATATTTATTAATTTTATTATTGATTTCTACTACTCTTTTTTAAAAAAGAAAAATATTATTTTGGAATTTAAGTTTCTAAAATATTTGAAAGAACTTTTACATAACTTATCTAAAGTCCTGCAGCTAGATGTGGTGAGTAAGTAAGTCTATCACTAGATACTTTTTGCATACACACCTAGATGTGATGAGGGGTGTGAGTTTACCACTTAAAATTTTTTATATACACAAAAATTTAAACTTGAAACCTTACTTTAGTAATACCGAGTTATTTATTACTTGGAGTAATCTCTATTGGTACAAAAATTATTTTTTAAATGGGAGTGGTCAATAATATAAATAAATTTTAAAATATATTTGTATAATTATAATTTGACATAATTTTAAGGCTTTTTTTTTTCAAAAAAATAAAATAAATGAAATTTTCAAATAGAAAATGTATTTAATACGGTAATCCAATAGATAGATTTTCTGCAGCAAAAGATTCTTTGAAGAAGTTATTGTTAATTTTTTATGGATAATATTTTTATAAAAACAAAATATTAATTTCAGTCTTTAGATTGAATTTAAACAATTAAAAATAAAAAAATTTATTAATAAATATTTATTTTGCTTTTATAAGGATTGTAGTTAACTTTAGATGTTTAAACTCAATCAATTAATTTGAAATTTTTTATTAGAAAATATTCAAATGTGATAACAAAATAGTAATTTATATATTAAGAAAATGTTCGAATCTATTTTCAATGAAAAAGATGTTATCTTAGAAATTTTAAAATTTTTTTTTTTTATCAATTTTTAAAATTTTTTAGTTTTAACATTCTTTTCTCTTTATTTCTTTTATTTTTCAGAGAACTTGTTCATCTACTGCAGCAACAACAATTACCTTGATTTTAAAAAAATGTAATGAATGAGAAGTAAAAATAGTGAATGGAATGGATAAAAGCAAAAGAATCACAAAAAAAAAAAGAGCAAAGATCTCCAAAATATCAAGATCTCTGAGATTTAGATCTATAAGTTTCTCATTACTCTTTTAATTGTTGATTTTGCTTACAATAAAAAAAAAACTAATTAGTATTTTGTTGAATAGTTATGGTTGAAGTCAATGCCCATGACTATCTAAAAATTGAAACAAGTATCTTTGGTGGCAAAAATTGTGAATTGTTATTCTAATTATTATTTGTTGAGTATAAATCATAATAAGTGCATCAATTATACAAATAAATCAAATATCGTTCTTACGAGGAGTGCAACTTAATTATTACTTTTTTTTTTTAATTTCTCTACTATTTATTTAGTAATTTAAATGAAATGATCAAATTTTCTAGAATAAGTATGAAACTTAACATAAATTCTATCGCAAAATTTAAATTGAGATAACGAGATATTTTTTATGTTTAAAAGTATCAAATACAATGTTTACAATAAAAAATTTGATATATCAAAAGTGTTAGAGAATGATTTCACTAAACCTTCACTTAAGTAACTTAAATTTTTACTCTAATTTGAGTTTTAAAAGCGTAATTGAAGGTTGAATTCACTTATTTATAATGAGGCTAATTTTTTAACTCAACAATCTTTCTCTCAAATTAGAAACTCTAATTCTTAAGAAATTTCTAATTGGAACAAACATTAATCTCTAAAATTCTTAAGACCTCGTAATTGTTGATCTTTATTTTCTAAAGTGTCTCCAATCATATTATTTTATTATAGTTTTAATATCTATCACAATCTTTCAATTGCAAATATAAATTTATGATCCACTATGAATGACCAATTCATGGAAGCGTTAAAAGCATAGATAAATATTTAGTTTAAAATAAATAGAGTTAAATTAAAAGTAAAAATTTAAATTACATATAAATTAAGTAATATAAGATAATTATATTAAAAACATAATTTTTTGAATAAAAGATTCATTATAAATAGTTATAAAATTCATTAATTAAATTTGATAAAAATTATATAAAATTTTCAATATGATCACTTCATATTATTTAATAATTATAAAGTAATTATTAGTATATTAATTTATAATTATTAATTGATGCAAAAATGATCATAATTAGAAAAGCGGTGAGTGGTATCTGCGTTGAAAACTGTGTTTACTTTGCAGAATTTCTTTTCGATGTGTAGGTATTCAAGCAATATTTATTGTAATAATTGATTAGCAACGGACAAGAGTTGAAACAAAATAAAAATAAGGCAAACGCCGTCTAACGTGGTCGCAGACACCACTGAAGATAAAAACAAATAGCTGTCACTCTAGACAGGAAAATTCATGATAAAATCGTCAATAGATTTTCTAATTATAATTTTATTAATTTTAATTTTTAAAATTATTTTATCATCATTTAATTTTAATATATGTTTGGAAAATGCAATAAAAATTAGTAAAAAACTAATTTCTATTTAAAATTATATTATTAAATATTATCAACACATTAATTTTTATAATTTTAAACAAAATAATATATAAATTTTAATTTTATCTCTTTAAATATACATTAAAAAAAATGTTTAACAATAATTCAATATAGACATGTCATTATTAATTTTAGAATAGATGTGTATTTAATTATATACATAATTTTTGTAATTAATTTTAAGTATTTAAAGTGTTAACATATTTTTGTATTTGTGATATAATAAATATTTTTAGTAAAATAACTGTTTAAAATTAACTTTAAAAGTTAAATTTTATAATATATATGATATTATTATTAAATAAGAAGAAGAAGAGTTGTAGTTAAAAAATTTAAAAGATGAAAATGATATGATATTAACTAAAAATACATTTACGAAGACAAAAAACAAATGAATCAAAGGGCATTTCTTTTATCTTCTCGTATCTGCCGTAACCCATCTTAAACAAGAACAGTGGCTCCCCCTAACCTTTAACTTTTTATTCTCATTCTCCATCTCTCCACACAACAAAAACCCTCTCAACCCAATCACAAATCACAATCCCTTTCCCCGCTTCTTAATTTCAAAGAGGGGAAGAAAAAAAGAGGCAAAAGGGTTTTCAAAATCTGAGCTTGTGATTATAGAAACACAAGGTGGTTAATTATTTAAGAATGAAGCGTGCTCTCTCCAGCGACACGGTGGAGGATAACAAGATGAAAAGGGCAAAGCTTAAAGAAGAAAGTGAGGGGGAAAAGACACGTGGCAGCGTGTACCTCGACGACAACGTTTTGTTCGAAGTGTTGAAACACGTGGACGCGCGGTCGTTGGCGATGGCGAGTTGCGTGAGCAAGCAGTGGCACAAAACGGCACAGGATGAGAGACTCTGGGAACTCATCTGCACCAAACAGTGGGCAAACACAGGGTGCGGTGAGCAACAGCTAAGATCCGTGGTCCTCGCACTAGGTGGCTTTCGTCGCCTCCACGCGCTTTACCTTTGGCCTCTTTCCAAGCCCCACGCTCCTTCTCTCCCGGCTTTCCCGCGCGTGCTTCGCTCCAACCCTCGTTTGGGGAAAGACGAGGTTCACCTCTCCCTCTCCCTCCTCTCTATTCGCTACTACGAGAAAATGAATTTCAATAACAGAAATAACAGATGAATTCGTGAGTTTTTAGTTTTCCCTTATGTTTCAGTTGCTCTGTTTTCATTCGGGTTTTGTTTCGCTCTTCTTTTCTTATATAATTTTGTGTAATTTTTAATTTTTGGTTACCAGATCTATAATTATTATTAACTGTTAAATGCAATTTAGCTAAGCTGGTAGCCTAGTTGTGTAATTGAGAACAAAAAATAATGATAATATAATAATTACGATACGATGTTGTATGATTAATATGTCGTGTTTGTGATTGAATTGAATTGAATTGCTTATTAATTGTGGTTTTCAGAATGGTTTAGCTTTAGGAGGTGGGGGAAGAGAGGGATATTAGTCTCTGGGGAATAAGAATTGGGTAGGGGGAAAGGGGGAGAGAATTGAATTGGCGAAAGTGGACAAGGGTTGGAGATGGGTTTGTCGTTTCACAAAAGGTGACAGAAGCAAAGGCTTTTGTTGTAACAATTGTTTGGTACTGCCTAAGTTTTGTGGCTCATTAGTTGGGCCCAATTGGTAAAAGACAGAGGGGTCAGTTGGGGCATCGATTGGGTCTGAAAAAGCCAAATTTTTGTTGAGGGACAATGTTTGTCGCATCTGTGCGCGCTATTCGTTGTGTCGTATACTGAACATTGTTTTGGCTGTGCACTTGTGAGCGGGAATTGACCGTTTTGGACCAATACTACGGGTGTACTCCGTGAAAACCTAATAAGATAGTCAAATAGCGGTTGCTTGGAGGTTTGGAATGTCAAAACTTTAACTAAACTCAATAGAATTAATTATTCATTATGATGGATTTTTTCTTTTACCTCTTTATTTTAAATAAATATTAAACTATTAGTATTATATTATATTTTAAAATAAATTATTTTTTATTTAATTTTAATAAATACTACGGATGATCAAGTCCTTTTTTATATTAAAATTTACTCAACGCAACTCATAAGTCCGTTTTCTCTTTCACATCTTCCCTCTACCTACAATTCTCTGTTTCCTTTTTGCCGTCAATTTTCCCAATTCTTTCTCATTATCCTATTTTATCACCAATCACTAAATATAAGATAAGTTTTAATATACTTCTAGTTTTTATATTTTGTCGTATCTTTATTTAAGCTCTATTTTTATTTTATTTTTTATTTTTTGTTCCTCTTACCTATGTGGTGCAATAAAAAGTTGGCATATAGTAAAAAAAAAAAAATACATGTAATAACTTGTTAATCAGTCATATCATCATTAAAGATCCCAAGTATTAAATATAAAAAAATTAAGGATTAAACCTAATAAAGATTTAAAATTATAATTAAAATTTCCAAAAAATAGAGATAAAAATATATTTACACCTATTATATATTATAAATAAGTGAAGGTCAGAGCTGCACTAAAGTAAGGGTCCATCTGTTTTAGCTTTTAAAAAAAGCGATTTTATGCTATATAAAAGTTATTTATATTTAGAAATTTTATAAAAATTAGAAGTTATTTTGTGTTTGGTTATAATTATAAAAGCACTTTTTATTTTAGTGAGTAGTTATAATTTCAGTTTTTTTTAGAAGTCATTCAAAACAGCTTCTCTAAAAAAGCTAAATTTAGATTATTTCCAGCTGACTTTTTTCATAATCTTAAACGATCTAAACAACTAAAACCATATTTTCTTTGGTCAACTAACTATTATCTATTAACAATTTGGACCAAATATACTATCTATTAACAACTTAGGCCTCAAGCCCACTTCAAGAATGACGAATGACTTTATGAATTGCCTATAATCGTACGTACGTTTACCCAAATAATAATAATCATACATGCGGAAAACTTAATAATATTATTATTTTATAAAATATTGACTTAACTGCACTGCACTTTATGTTATTTATATATTTTAATGTATGTTAGATTATAGTCTTCTTAGTTTTAGTTGCTCATATTTAATTAATTAATTAATTAATTAATTAATTAATTAATTTAAATGTTCAAATTCACTCTAAAATTTTATTTAATAATTAATAAAAAATATAATATAGATATGAAATTTATTAATTTATACAAATAATTAAAAAATATTTATAAATATTTAAATAAAAATACAAAATAAAATGTATAAAATATAGTAATAATTTTAATTTTAGGGTGAAAAATTTAATTTGAACATTTGAAAAATTAGAGAAAATAAATTTGATTAATTATATTAAAATATGATTACTAAAATTGTAATTAAATTCTAAATATTATTGTATTATTTAATTTTTTAAAATAATATTCAATAAAATATATGTACTTTATTCACAATAAAATATACCAAGTTATAATTTTAGATAGCAATGTCATAAGAGTTTTGTAAATAAATGTCTAAAAATATTAGTTAAGAATTTAATAAATAAAGATATTATTAAAATTATAGTGAGGTTTAATAGAAATTAATGTTATAGTTTTGTATAAAGATTTTTTAAATTCTTCAACTAACACACTCATTAGCATTTTCCATTATACGGTAAAAATGTGACTTATATTTGTTCTTTCTATTTAAATTATAAATTTTATTAGGAAATACTTGTTTGTAATAATAATTAAAAATAATTTTTAAGAAGATAAAAAGTCACAAAATATAGCATACTATTCTCTCTTTAAACAGATCACCCAAAAAATTGGAAGCACGGCTACTTTTTTTAACTATGAAAATATTTTATGGTGTTTCTTAAAGTATTAAATAATGGTGACAATTTATATGAAATATGATTATGCAAAATAGTTAGAAAAAAAAAATTACCTAATTGCAATATATGAATCCTTCCTTTGTAACATGCTTTAAATAAAAAGATAGACTCGATGATATCTGCTCGTAATTCTTTCCGCGGTTATGCATCGTAAGTAAAAAAATTATTCATGTGAAAATTATATAAAATTGTAACATAATAAAAATTATAAATACGAATAATAAAATTGTAGATTTATTAGTTAATGACATAAATTTTATAATGAAAGTTGTTGTATTAAATTTTTGAATTTTGTAATAACTAATATGTTAAAAAAAATTTGTATAATTTAAATTTTTAAATCACAACTATGATAGGACAAATCAAAAAGTTGTAAGGGACCTAAATAAATATATAAAGTACTAACATCAGTTCTCTTCTATTATATGCTTTTAAATTAAGGTTTACATCTTAATTTACATTAATCAATTATAGATATTTAAGTTCAAACAAATGAATCACTAAAATTAATTATTAGACTTACTTTTTCATTTAATCTGGATCAAGAATTAGTCTGCTTTTATTATAAACAAAACAAAAATTTATTGTAATTTATAAATAATTATTAAATAATTCTAACATATATTTCTTAAAAAACATAAATGGCTATAATGTATTGGTTAGATAAAAAAAAAATTTGTTTATGTATATATGAGAGAAAATCTTCAGGAAAGTAAAAATAATACCTAAAAATTTATGAGTAACAATATCTAATAGTAAAGATGATAAAATAAGGTTACTTTTTAGATAACATTGTGCTACAAGCAACTTCAATGATTGCAAACTTGGAAGAAACTAATAACGCTAGGTGAAAGATGTTTGGCAAGAAAATATGCAAGCTAGTGACTTCAAAGAATATCACCAAGTGCTCTAAATAAAAGTGAAATAATACCATATTATAGAAGGGTTAGCACATTTGTAAGTAAAAGAGTAAAGTTGTTTGTGTCAAACTAGGTAATTGAAAGAGTTGAGTTCAGTGCAATTGGGTAGAAGTATTGAACTCGACAGTTGAGGAAGAGGTCACCTTGTCAAAAGTAGAGGACCCAAAGGACATCAAGTTCCTTAATTCTAGTTATATTATAAATTTTAAGGTGAGTCTTATAACATAATAAATAAAAAGAAGTGTATATGTATATTTTACATGGAAGAAAATTTTAAAGAAATATGAGAAATAATAATTATATCAATTTTTTTAAAGTTGTAAGACATTATATATGATAATAACTTGTATAAATTATATTTTTATTTAAAATTGTACTCTTTAATAGTCCTAATACATTAAATTGTATAATATTTAATAAAAATTTGTATATAAATCATTATCACGTGAAATGTTGTACAAGTTTCAAAAAATCGTAATTATATGACTTATACACGAATATCACTTTAAAGATAATAATATGTTATTAACGATACCAAGTTGCTCACGGATAATTATGATAATTATGGGAAGCAGTTCCTGCCAAATGAAAAGGCAGGAGTGCAAAATTAAATAAAAAAATAATTATGATAACTCTAAAAAAAAAAAAAAGAGACCTTGTGTTACAAGAAAAATTCTTATGATTGTGTCACAGTAGGAATGGAAACAAGGCAAGACAAGCCAGATTTTACTTTAAACAAGCTGAGTCTGTAACATAATTATTAGGTTTGAGTCAATTTATTATTTGTTAAAAGTTTTATTTTCAGTCTGGTTTAACTTCTTTAGGTAGCCTGTCCTGATTTGAAGTCTACTACAAAAAAAATATCTTAATATTAATGAAAATATAATTATTTTATTTTCAAATTAGTATACATATTTTTAAATTTTTATCTGTGTTATTGATAATTATTAATTATCAAATAAAGTCTTTGTCAGGCGACCTGACCTGTTTCTATCCCTAGTCATAAATAATGGAGACTTATTAAAGGATCAAAGCGTTTTGTCATAAATTAGTCCAACAAATCAACATAATTTTAACTCAACATAATAAGAAATTTCATCAGACTCACCCCTACAAATTACCCATTATGGCATGAATAAACTTTAGTCTTAGCTTAAAGCTAAGACTTAGTTGGTCATCTAACAAATGACAATCCAACTCCCACTCAATACACCACACTAAATCCAAATAAGCAAGCTCAGAAAATTTTGTCCTAAGTTTAACTAAATTTCATTGATTGGTACAAGACAGATAGTCTTCTTCAAGGATGAATAATTGTAACACTCTTGAGGAGAGACTCAAACTCACTGTTGGCTTAGACATTACCTATGCTATTTGGACTGTACTCAAAGATGAATATACAGTACGACAATAATTATTCTTTAGATTATTCTTCTTAATTGATCTT